TATATAGCAGGTACATGTGGCCAAAAATGTTCGATCAAAAATGGCGAATCGAAGAAATATGGCGGACAAAGGCGTACAGGAATGTAGTAAGTCGTACAAAGATGAAAAATGATGCCTTTTTAAGAGTTCATGTCAGCTTTAACTAGTCATAAGGATGTGTACAAAATGTTCAGGTTTCACACGTAAAATAATATTTAAAAATCCCTGTCTCATTTTATTTACGGAAATACGGTAAAGTCACGTTACGAAATTCATTTTCTACAGCATTGCAATCTCGGAATCATGGTTTTCCTTCACGCATGTCATACTGTAAACTGTTCCTTCCGTCCGAAAATATTATGTGCCACTTAAATACTAATGTACGGCTTCTTTTACCATGTTTTTCCGAATTTTTATAAAATGTGTTGGTCTCTGTTATTGTTTCTCCGATGTCTACGCAGAATTTTATCATTGCTCACTGCTCCACCTATTCCGAAAACGTCCCGTTGTTTGAACAATTCCGATCCGTCTTAATATGTTCTTACTTTTATTGCTCAGCCATTTTACTTCTTTGATTGTTCAAATTTTGCCGGTTTGAAGCAATAATTTCTGTCAACCTCATAATGTAAAAGTCATCCAGATTTCTGCAGAATTTTATAAAATACAAATGAAATCTATAAAGTGATAAATAAATTTTTAATAAAAATTTTGCGCTGCTCCGGGTCTCCATACCTAGTCTTATTATTTAGTCATAATTGTAATTAAACATTGAAAATTGAATCCGATTTTTACATTTCTCAGTTCACATTTAGTAAAGGATTAGAAATATACTAATAATAAATATCATTGACGCAACTTTTATTTAATTCTTAGCTTGTCCACGAACTTTACGGACAACCCACGTATGTTATTTTTCGTATTATATGTTTTTGATATATATATTTATTTTTCAAAGTGAACAATACTTTGTCAGAAAAATTTAATTCGTGAAGAAAATTAAAACATTAACTTTACATTTTATATCTATGTTTTTAATGCTATATAAACGTTTTTTAGAGTTTGGAAAAGAAATAATGCATCATGGCTTATTATAGTTATTTGTATCCAATGAAAGGTCTTCTCACAAGGATTACATATGTAAAGTACGAAAGCCTTAGTCCACACCGTTCAAAAGTTATGGTCAAGGTTAAAGTTTTCTCATAAGTACTTTAATCTCTAAGGTCAAGGTCAAAAGGTCAAGGTTGTTGTTATCCAATGAAAGGTCTCACCACAAACAATACATATGTCAAATATAAAAGTCCTAGCATCTACTGTTAAAAAGTTGTGACCAAGGTTAAAGTTTTATTAAGTAGTTAAAACTCCAAGGTCAAGGTCAAAGGGTAAAAAATATTGATATCCAATGAAAGGCCTTCTCACCAGGATTGCATTTGTGAAGAAAGAAAGCCTTAGTCCTCACCGTTCAAAAGTTATGGTCAAGGTTAAAGTTTTTTTATAAGTTCGTAAATCTCCAAGGTCAAGGTCAAAAGGTCAAGGTTGTTGTTATCCAATGAAAGGTTTTGTCACAAACAATACATATGTGAAATATGAAAGTCCTAGTTCTTACTATTCAAAAGTTATGGCCAAAGTAAAAGTTAAGAATTTTTGTGTGAAAGTTGGTCAAACTCCTAGGTCAAGGTCAAAAGGTCAAATTTGGTGGTACCCAAAGAAAGGCCATGTCACAAGGAATACACTTGTTAAATAAGAAAGTCATAGCTCCACTAAATCAAAAGTTATGGGCAAGGTTAAAGTTTTTGTGACGGACAGGCAGACAGACGAATGAGATTTAATGTCCCCTCGCTTTCGCGAAAGCGGGGGACAACAAAGAACACAGCAATTTTATTCAAGTGAAAAAATACGACAATTTACTTCTTCTTCTGTGCCTTATCGGTCATCAGGGATAGTTTCCTCTTGTTTGTAGTTGGGTCTGGGGTTGTCTGTAGTATTCATCATTGCTTCTGCCATTATATTTTTTCCCGTCTGTCAAGTTCGAAATGCCAAGCAAGAATGATCCTCAAATCCCAGCTCCGCTTTATATACCTATCTGTTGCATCATCTTTTTTATCACCCTGTTGCATCACCTGTAAGGGCGTGTGCAAAAAATACCTTTTACCTACGTTTTATACGGAGCGGTATAAATGAGAAGAAAAGTCTGATCCTTTCTTCACAATCGACTATCATGTCAACCCTGATACACACCCACTCTCTGATTTTAAATGGGTATGATTGTTTAGTAAGATAGGCACAAAACCACCAAGAATCTCTACCCCCGGAGGCAGAACAAGTATTTCAGGAAGTGAGCACTATCATGGAAACCCCTCAGGATTTATGGTTACAATGCCTAAACTTATCACATCATGCGACGACCAAAGGGAGACTAGCTTCCATACATTTTCAATGTCGACATATGAAAATAATTCTGCCCCAGAAATGGTAGGGACTGAACATGACCCGTTATTTCGGAAAGCCTTACAGTTTCCTGACCCATCCCCAAGCGGCCAAAGTGATTTTACTGTGGCAGGACATAGATGCAATGAAGAAAGTATGTATTCAATACGGAATGAAATACCTGGAAATTTCAAACAGGCTAGGAAATCCGTGACTTTCAATACCAGCCTCAATCAAATCTACGAATTACCCCCCGAAAACCGGAGAAGTCCCTGGATGCAGTTAGTGGCGGATCGAATACGATTTCGGAGGAGAATTCGACAGTTAGAAGCATTGTTAGTTTTTAAGAAATAAATTTAAAAAAAAACTACATCAGTGTTATGTTAATTTATGACGTCATATATATACAATCGGGTTCGGCCTTTCCCCACTTCAATTTTGCTTTGTCACTGTGATGGGGCTTTTTTTGATCACATGACCAAAAGCGATTTTTTCTTTTAGCCAATCACATTTAATCACGTGATTGGATTGTTGATGTTTTGCCGCAATTGCAGTATCGTCTGCAATTGTTTATAAATACTGACCCTCCGAGCGCTCGGCATCATTCTGCTCTTAGCCCATTTTCAGAGAAAAGAAGAAGAAGAAGAAAGAAAAAGAAGAAGAAAGATGTCAGGCAGTGCAAGTGGAACTTTCTTCTATGAAGACTTGTTTTTAATACCCGGGATTGTTTTAATCCTTAGGAGACAGGACAATAACCGCCAACTGATGACCATCAATTTAGCCAGGTTCCAGGTGAATAATCAGCATCGGAGGGCGCACCCGTACCACCCCGACCTGCGACCCCAGCCCCCAAGTACAAGCCCGGAACCAGGGATCTTGTTCCAAGAACAGGGACCATACCAAGTCGTCCAGGACGTTTTCTTTCCTCGACAAAAGCAATTTGATGCTGCAAGATATGATGGTCTTTATAAAGTCATACCTGGAGAAGAGTAGCCTAGCATTATGTGCACAATTTTCAGGAATGGCATATGGGTCACCAGCAGTCAACTGGGGGAGTTTTACGTGTACCAGAGAGCTGTTCAAAGAGTAATTTTACAAAGAACTCCGGTGAATACAGAATACAGGTGGTCATAGAGATAGATGAATCCCTATTTGGCAGAAGAGTTAAAATCTACAGAAGAAATCCTAATTGTGGACTAAAGGTATTAACTCTTTACAACTTACAGAATTGCTATGCGACATACATTTAATCCTCGCATCATAGAAATATTACTTTACCATTTCCCCACAAGCACTTTATAGCGGGGTACAAATTTCTCTAAAGTTTAGCGTAAATAATATTCTGAAATAATATTTTTATTAGAAAATAACTTTTCTTATTTTATGAGACCTGAGCAAGTATAAAATAGTTGGAATTTGACAATAAATTAAAGATTAAATGAACTTTCTAAAGTGCGTGAAAATGCGTGATTGCGGGGAAACGGTAAATGCGTGATTTTGCGTTAGAAATAGGAAATGGTATATGCGTTAAAATGCGTGACTGCGGGGACAGGTGTTAAAACAAACATTAAGATGGCGTTTCTCACCAAATGAAAAGTAATCATAAATGTTTACAACAAAAATAAACCAATCAATACAAATTGAAATTATAGAAATGTGTGCCTCACATGCTTCAAAAATTATTAAGTAACGGTAAAAAGCAACTCAGCAAATAAAAAATTGTACAATTAAAGAAATATAAAATTTACAAGTAGTTGCATGCAATACAAACTGTGATGTTAAAGTTAAGGACACTAACAAGAAAGACATAACAGTAGTATTAGTTTGAAAACAAAGAAATGAAAAAAAAAATTATGTATTTACAAGGATATCTATATACAATATTAATTTTGTAATATAATATAATTTTTACAAAATATTTTTTTTTCTGTTTAGATTTGAATTTTTGGGTTGGTAGAACGCGACACTAATACTTTGGTGATGTACCCCGTGTCAGACAGATCCGAAGACACACTTCTTCCTATCATTGAACGCCACGTAGAAAAAGGCTCAACAATATACAGTGACGTCTGGTCTGCGTATTGCCATCTCAATGACGCGGGGTAGGATCACTTTACGGTACTACACAAGTATTCATTTAAGAAGACGTACGTTAATACGAGGACTCAAGAGATCGAAGTTGTGCATACGAACAGAATTGAAGGGGCCTGGAAGCACGCAAAAGACCATTTCAGGAAACTCGTTGGAACAAAGTTACCTCAATTTGAAGGTCATTTGGTGGAAATCATGTGGAGACAGACAGAGAGGGGAAACATCTATGAAGCATTCTTTAACCTGTTGAGAAGCGTATATCCATTGGATGGTCCACCTAAGTACACTTATCCAACACCATTGTTTAGTTCCTGGGAAGGAATTCCTGAAATCCAGTCGAAAATTGATGACTGGGAAATCAGACCAGGTACAAATATCCAGAATATTTAAATACGTATTCTGTTAATATACATTTGTCATTTGAGATTCACAGCATTCAAAGTCACTTTTTCAATTTCTTTTTATCAGAGAACACTGATGCGGAGAGTGAGGCCGAGTTGCAAATAGTGAATCCTTCGGCAGAGTTGTTTTCAGGTACGGTGGAGGAAACCAGCTCTGATATTATGACGAACAGGGAGCTTTCCTCCATTGAGCTGCGGGAGAGACGTCTCATGGAGAAGTCCTCTTTGGATAAAGTCTTTGAGGAGATGTTGGCAGGGTTGGGGCTGAGGCTGACGGAGACAGAACCTTAACATAATTTTCCGTTGCAGGAGGTAAACCCTACAAGAAAAGGCATGAAAAAGTTTTTGTGTCTTAGTGTCTAAATGAAATAATGACATTAAAAAGTATTTTTTACTAAAACTATTAATTTCTATTCTATAGATTCAACATCAGTTCCTGAAGAAGCAAGACAACTGAAGCCAGTACATGTGGAAGGTATTACAATAAACCATTTTTTTTCTTTTTTTTCTGGAAGGTCCGATAAAGGATTACAAACATGAAGTAAATACATTAAGTAGTGAGGCATGATCATAATTATTACCATTTTTGTCTTCATAGCTCGAGTAATAATCCAAAATCAAAGCACTTCTGGCAGAAGGACCCAAGATGCACCCTCTGAGAAAGGTATAAGCAGAAATATTCTTAGTATTTAAATAAAATTATACAAACTTCACATTTTGAATTTAGAAAGTTAAGATGTGATAAATATTTCAATATATAATACATTGCAATTATAATAATGTATGACTTTTTAAAAAAAAATTATTATTAAAGCTAAATTGAAAAGAAGTAAGCAAACAGTTGCAACAACCACTGTTGAAATCACAGTTGAAACAAGCACAGTTCAGACTAGGAACACAAAGAGGAAAAGTAAGCAACAAGTTACTATAAGTTAAATATAAACAAGATAAATTCATTATTTAATTATCAAAATGAATTTAATATTGAACACAAAAAATTAATAAAAATGAATTAAAAAAAACAATTACAACATTTAGAATATTACCATTTGTAGAATCTCTATCCCTTGCGAGGAAATCACCAATCGTTGTATCGTCCGAGGAGGACATTCCAGGCACCAGTGCAGGGAATGCAGTTTCTTCAGAACAGTCTACTACATCTGCAGTTGCAGCTCCAAACAAGAAAACAAAAGCAGGTACAAATTTCTTTTATATAAAATGCTATTAAAATGTATCATTGTTGATTCTACAGTTGATGTCCATTCCTAAAATGCTATTTTTATATATATATTACTAGTACCTTCAAAGAAAATAAATTACATGTTGAATGTGATACAAATATGAATGTCTGTATATTTTTTTTCTATTTTTGCTTTTAAGTAATATCACGTATAATACTACAACTGTTATAATTTTCCTAAAATGCAAAGTAAATATTTACTTCAATGTAAATTTAAATAAACTACGTAATGAATGTGGCACAAATATGAATATGAAATGTTTACCTATTTTATAACTTTTCCAGTCACCAAGAGGATGCGCACGGACAAGGTCTGTCATCCTCCTGAATTCAAAGAGACCTCACCATCCACTTCTAGACGAGGGAAAGGAAGGACAACTCTTGCAAACCCCTACGCCAAATCAGCCTTTGTGTGTGGACATCAGCTGATGATGATATCCAATAGATTTTAATTCTAATGAATAAATACATGCTATGAACCTTATCAAATTGTTGAATTGTCTTTGGAAATATATGTGCATGTGTTTTATAAAGGATATGATTTGGCCAGTAGTTGCCCCATAGTTGGATAATGTGTAAATCTCTCTAACAAAACTGCAGAATTTTAAGAGAAAGATGCAGGAGAAAATAAGGAAGGTGTAAGTCCATTGATAAATTGTTAATGGGAATTTTGACTTGTTGCCATGTTGAAAGTTTATGGAACCTGACTCAATGGTAACTGATACAGGGACGTCAAACTGATTATGCAGCAGGGATTTTAGATCAATGAATTCATTGTCCAAAATTTTTTGTTTTATTATATGATTGAATAATTTCCATCTATCTGATTGGATGACATCCAACTATGTTAGAAAAATATTACGTTGTATTGACCTGCACGTGAGCAATGATCAATGGAAAGACCTGATGATTTCCCAAGAAAGAGCAATGAAAATTGAAAAGGAAACAAGAGGACAAACAACAAGTCCAGCATGGTTTACCCAGAGAAAGGGAAGGATAACAGGCAAAAAGAAATAACTGATGCATTTCTAAAAAAAAAACACCATTGATAAAAAAAAATCCTGTACTTCAGCTCCAACATCATATGGACAAGCAAATGAGAAAAACAGCCAACCAATTGTTTATAAAAAGCTTAGGGAATTATATACATGATATTGGACTGGTCATAAATCCACTTTTTCCTTTTTTGGTGCGACACCAGATGCCAAGTTTTGTGAGAATTCAATAACTGGTATTGTTGAAATCAAATGCTCATATTCAGTGAGAGATATGAGCATGGATGAGGCTTGTGAAAAGCAAGATGTTTTCTTAAAAAATCAAGTTCAAAGTACACCCTAAAGAGAAATCATTGTCATTGGTATCAAGTGCAAGGTCAACTTATGATAACTGGTGCTCCATTCTATGACTTTATTACTTTTACAAGACAAGAATTAAATATTGAACGAAATAGCCATGTATAGATACAATGAATATGTTGTTGAAGAAAATGAGTGATGTTTATGTCAATTATGTAAAACCTTACTTTGAATCAAAGAATCAAGATTAATATTGTTACCTTGAAATCCAACAGTATTTTGCTGGGTATCACTGGCACAGGTAGCTGTTTCCATGTCTACGTTAACATCATTTTCAGACGAAGTGTACTCTGCATCCTCTTGGTGATTACCATCAGCTGAAACTCGGTGATAAAATTGAATTTAGATAATTTATTTAACAGATAGCAATAGGTCACTTGAGTTTACTTAGGTGACCTAAAAATACACAAGGGAGGAATCTAAAATAGGAAACTCCATACCTCATATTTTGACCGGACTGGGCGACATAAGTTGCCAATAAAGTACGAGTGAGTGGAGTATAGATTCAACTTTGATATTCTTCAGTCAAATTCTAATCAAAGCCTACCGTTAGTCATATAACTAACCACTTTTTCGACATTTGGATCTGCCGACAATTCTTTCCATATGTTCTTCCGGAGTAATTTAAAAGCTGCGCTCTGATAGGTCGCTTTCTGTAGATAACTCTCGAATTAAAAAGTACGGGGAAAATGAAGATAGCGACAGAGGGCCACAACCTTCCTATTCCTGTGCCATCTGGCACTGGCAAAAGCTATGTTATGAAATCAATAGCCCTGACAATGAAAAATAATGGGAAAAAGAGTAGGTGTTACTTGCACGTCAGAGATAGCAGCATTTCTGATATAGGGCATGACAGTCTTACAACCAATACCTACTTTGCGGTATGGATGACAAGATGTTTCTATGGATAAATTGTTGGATTATTCTGAAAGGCCCCCTAAAAAGGGACCAAATACTGGTCTTAAATACCCTATCTTGTCCTTTCTTTTTTTTTACTAAGTATATAATAAAATACTGTAAGTGTCAATCCTTAATTTAAAAAAAGAAGAAATTTTCACATCATGATAATTATTTTTGGATGAAGACAGACAACCAATATTCATTACAGCCACAGAGAATACCTACAATTTCTGCAGGGTATTTCACCGACATGGTAGCGCTGAAACGTTTCTTCATCGGGACGAGACCATCATCACCAGGAACACAAATACATGTATGTCCAAGTCTATGTGTCTAAGTGTGCACGTAGTCCCAGATGTGGATGGGATTGTGCTGGGTATTGCCTCACTGGCAGCAGTCCAGTTTCCGGTTCGGTTCCTTAATCTGTTGCCAATCAGTCTCTGGTCAATGAAACCCGTCTTTCCCACCCTGAAGAAGCACATCAATCTCCATTCGTATAAGGATTCCCTGTGTACTCTGCAGAAAACCCACGGAAAACAACTCTTTTGGGAGTTTGGATGGGAGTGTTATAGTTGTCTGTTTCCACACAGCCTGTTGCAGTGTCTCACTATTTAACCTCCCAGGATGTGTTTTTGTTATCAGCTGAATACTTAAATGGGGTGATTTCCATATGGAAGGACCAGCTGCTTTAGATGGTGACGGAAGGTAGATGCCTGCAGAAACTGTCCAGAAATGCTCTTTCAGACTTAGCCAAAATGCATGTATTGCCAGGTAATCAGGAAGACATCCTGATATCTCTCAATGAGGCCATTAGAGAGTAGAAGAGTCCTGCGGGTTCAAACCCTACCTCTATCTTTTCCGTTTTTTGCGAAAGAGACAGATAAAGAGTCCAGCTTGACTCCAGCCTCGTTCAAGATCAGACTATTCATATTGCCTGTACATTGAATAGAGTACAAGGGATTGGTTTGTTTGGTCGCAGCACGGCGTGGAGCAACTGATCGGTGCCAGGGGTACCTTATCAATCTGTCTATCCTTCAGAGAGGCCACCAAGTTTCAGTCCTGATCTTAGAAGTCAGCATTGGGATTGTGCACCGGGTTTATTAATATCACCGACATAACAGGCCTAACTACCAGAACACGGGGAGTCAGGGCCAGACTACGAACTAAACGGGCGCTGGAAGGCGGGGAAAATCCGCAAAGTCGTTATAGGAAGTTTAAAGTACAGTGCCTTTAAATTCTTCCCTGCAGTCCGGTCGTTAATTACATAAAGGACCCTTGTTTGATCTGGAATGGATTTCATCTATGGAGAATCCAGCTTAGCCCTGCAAATCCTGAAGTGTATGACGCCTACTGCCAAAGCTGTACCAAGGTCATTATTCGGAAACTAGTCTCCGGAGGGTTTATCCATCAGAGCAAATTGAAGGACATGCTGAAGAGACCTAATTTTTCCTTCACGTGGATGAAGCCCATTCTCCAGAAGCTGAAAAACGTTGAGCTGGCAGCAGTTAGCAAAGACAGTAAAGTGCTTTTACAAGCCCGCAGTGTAAAAATGTAAATGTGATAGGACTTTTTAACAATACTCAAAGACGTAAGCGTATTCATGAACATCGTTCGTACATAAAACCTGCAATACACGACGTCTCTTTTGATTCATTACTACCTTATGTAAATCAACAGTTAGGTCTAAATCATATTCGAACCAAACTTTACTCTGTCCCTTTGAAACTTTTAAATAGTCTTCTTGAAAAGACCAAGGAACATCCAAATTTAGATTCCTCGACACCTGAATATAGGCTCGGTTCTGTGATTATGGATATTGCACATCATAGGCTTTTTAAACCCGCACGTTTCACGGAAGAAAATGCAGCTACAACAATCCGCCTTTTCCTTAAACTTCAATATGCCAATTGCCAAGGATTTGACGCGGTTAATATAAGTAATATTCTTAATCACAAAAGGGTCCAGTCTTGTATTCCACCATATTTTAAGTTAAAGACTACGCCTTGTATTTCCTGCAAATATACATCGACCATTGCTTCCAAACTTTTCAATTACGAAAACACTTTACATGGCCTGGATATCGACTATCTGAAAAATAATCCCCTTTCGTTCTTCTTCGTCCTATAACTATAGTCCTGCTGGACACGTTATTACAGGTGACGTAAAAATAGTTCGTAATGAGGACCTTAGATCACTTATTTTAAAAGGTCCTAAATATAGGGAACCCCAATCCTTCAACTGGCGTCGGAATTTCATAAATATTATGGATTCTGTTGAAAATCACGCCAGACGATGGGCTAGACATGAAAAAGAAGACATTGACACCTCGTCAGAATGGATTAAATGTATCAGATCCATGTTAAAGTCGCGTATTAAAAGATTGAGGGGCAAAATAAAAACCATCTATCCTTCTGTGTTCAATAAACCAGAAGTGAACAAAGAATTAGATAACACGATCAGTACGTACTGGTTCCTGCCGACAAAGCAGGTTACAACATTGTCTTCGTTTGTAAGGCTCATTATATAAATTGCATTCTAGAAGAACTTGGTTTTAATTCTACAAGTGGTAATCCTAATTATGAATAAACTTCTCTTTCTAAGGAAGAAATTTTTCAAAATCACCTGTCAGTTTTACATACTTTTAATATTCCACAGAGCCAAAATGAATTTAAACTACCTTATATATATTGGATTCCGAAACGTCAAAAGAATCTTAAAAATTCTAAAGAACTCTTGGACAATTTGATTGATTGAATGATTAATTTTTTTACGCCGAATTGGCAATATTTCAGCCATATATCGGCGATAAAAAGTAAATCATGTGACCAGTTTTTAAAGTTTTATGTTTGTCTGACGGCCCCCAATGAGCCTACTCTTTTTCGAAAATCAGGGAAACGATCTTTTGCGTGCGAAGGGGGTTGTAATCCTTGACACGGGGCACCATTTAACGTCCCATCCGACGGACCTCAAAATTAAAAATGTAAAGCTGTTCAATTAAAATAATTAAAAATGGTTTTCATTAAAATACATAAATACATTAGATTTTACAGTAAAAATCAGTTTCTTGCAAATACTTTAATACTTGGATATTTTACTTGAAAAAGACACTAATGGTAATCTAACAACCAAGCTATATGATACACATGATGA